ATAGATTCTCAGAGGCTCTTTGAATCATGAAAGAAAGATTTGGTCTTTTCCATTTATTTCTTTCTCTCTCCCTCGTGTGTATCTGTCTGAAACCCAAGTGCCCTTTAAGACCTAGCTCAGATCTTCTTACGTAAAGTTCAAGGGCTGCGCTTTGGACCACTCTGTTCCAGTCTTACCTCCCTACCCCCCGTTCACTTAATGTTTGTATTGCACCCTTAAGTTCTGATTGTCTTCTTGTACCGTTCTCTCCTTGTTTCTTGTCTGGAGGTCACATTTTCCTGGCAGATTGTCCCAGGCAGCGGTTCAAGCTCTGACCGTGTAGGCTCTGCTCCAAGACCCACTGAACCAGACGCTGGGAGGGGCCTGGAAATCCCTGTTTTTCATAAGCTACCCAGGTGATCCCCATGATGATCAGTCACTTGGTGTCACTTCAGCTGTGTAGTAAATAATTCAGTTGACAGAATGAACTGTAGATTTTGTATTAAATGTATTGTTTAAGTTTTTTGAAAACTTACGATCTGTGTGTAATGTTACTTTTTAAAAAATCTAGCTTAGCCAGAATGCCCCATTCTCCCCAAATTCAGTATCAGTGAGAGAAGTTTTCAAATAAAACATTTCAGCCACATATACATAAATGACTACATATGCAATTTCCCTTTAGAAAAATTCTTTTCACTCATTAATTGTACAACTAGTTGCAAGTGCCCTTTGGTTCTTGTAAACCATAAAGGTTCGCAGTGTATCTCACTACTTCTTAGCTGGTGCTTGGGTGCCATTTCTAGATGAACTGGTGGTCATGGTGTGGTGGTGGTAATCACACTTTTTTTCTTTTAGATAATGCCCACTAGCTTACAGAAAGCTGTTATTCACAGCAGCTCGTTTTTAGGTATTACCCGTTTCTCACAAATCCTGAGAAATGAAAGGACTTGCTCTGGACCATGAAACTGTTGCAGGGCCCAGACTTACTATATTCTTAAAGACAACTTCTGCATACTCAAATGTTTATTTGCCACACAGCTAAGTTTATTTTTATGTCTAAGTTTTTTTAACATTTAAAAAGTGTTTGGTATTTACTGGGTGATCTTTAAACACGGGTCCTCCACTCCCCACCTTTTCCTCCTGCCTCCCAGGTGATTTTCTGTTTCTCGTGGTGGTTGGGACTCTGTTCGCATCAGCAGCGTAGGGCGTCAGCGTGGCCAGCACTTGGGCCACCATCCCTCGAGCAGTGAGCAAGTGCATTGCGCAAGTGGTCGTGGCGGCTGTTACTCTTCAGATGGCCTGACAAGACCACAGGCGTTTAGCTCTGGTGCACGAGAGATGAGTTAGAGGCCAGGCTTGGCGTGTCTGCAGGGTTTCTGTTTCATCTTCGCGGGACAACCCAAGTGTGCCAGTGATAATTCACGCGAGCGCTTGACGATGAAGGATGGTGTTGTTATTGTTGGAGATCTTTTCAAAAATGCTCATCCGAGTGTGGGCTCTTCATTCCCAGACACTCTCCTCCTAACATAGCAGCCCTGAGCTGAAGTTATTCCTTGCAGAATATTTATGAAAAAGCAACACGGTGCAATCCCATGGGACCATTGAGACCAAGATGTGACCTGAAGCACTTTTTCACTTGAGTTTTACTAGTTGTTCAGAACCCTACAAAGCTGTTTTTTACTGAGCTTTTATTTTCCGGAGTGCTAGAAAGAGCTGTCTGCAATTGGTGAAAGCTCATGCTATCCCTATGTAGGCTGTGACATTAATCCTACAGCAACGTCAACAGTAGAGTTTTTTAGACGGGTGACAAGTCTTCATGTTTCAGCATTCCTGTTTCCCTCGCCCTTCAATCTCCCACTCTCTCCCCCAAAATTACTAACAGATAGAGAAAAGGTGAGGGAAACAGACCATCAATAGCTTTACCATTTTTTTCTGTTTCTTGTTAATTTTTTCCCTCCCATTCTACTTTTTCTATTATTTTAAAAAAAAATTCCCTTGCCTCTGGATCTGCCCCAATGCCCCTTACAATGATCATTCTCCAGCCCCCCTCTTTCTGAGAACTTGACAGTCTCATTAGCTGTTCCCTTGACCGATAGATGTCCACATACCACAGCTCACTGGTCATCGGAATAGTGGAGCCAAGGTCCTCAACTGCTGTTACAGTTCTCAGGCGTGACGTGCCAGGGCCATTCATCACTAATCATGCATCCCCGAGTTTGAAAGTGCTTTATTTTATTTTTTTCAGGGCAGAATTGAGCTTAGCCCTGTAACAATGTCACTGTCATGCACTTTCATGCAGAAATGCTTTCTTGAATGGGAAAGAGAGACACCACCTAGTCCTCCAGGAATTGGGCACAACCCAGGTCTATCTGCGTCCCAGCCTGTGGGAGCTTGCCCTGGAACCTGCCAATGTCATCTGCCTTGGGGCTTTTTCTCATCAGAAAAAGACATTGTTTCTCTCTACAATAGAAGTTAGATTTGTTTGTTTATTTTTTCTCGTTTTTATTTTATCAACATAAGCCCGACGTTAGTGTGAAAAGTCATCCTGCAGGTTTTATTAGGTAGATTAAAAGTCACAAATTGGAAAGATTTCACAAATGGAGCAAGAGTGCTCTTGACGGGTGAAAGTGAGGGTGAATTCCCCGCCTCCTTTCTCAGATGTTTTCTGGGAAGAGATTTTTGAGGCAAGGAAGAAAGATAACAGGAGGCGAATCAAAGAGATTTCATGTCTTACCTGTAGTTGTGGTTTGGGTGTTTCGAACATCTGCTTGTCATGTCCATTAGGATAAAAACTTCAAAGGGATCTAATGTTTTCCCAGGAGGTATCTTTGTGGGAACCTCAATTTTTCTTTCTCAATTGATGTAGACAATCTCCACTTACGGTCTCAAGTTTAACATACAATGAAGTCTTTACTCAAGCAGAAAGAATGCATGAATCTATGGGGTTTTTGTCTCTAGGGAGAAAACTAGCCTCAGAGCCATGAATTTCTCAGTGAAAAAAAACAAGTTAGCTGGGCTAAGTAGGAAGAAAGAATATTTACATTTGTTACAACCCAAAGTGTGCATAATAAAATATCATTTCTTCGCATCTGCTTAGTATTATCTATCCCAGTGGCTCTGAAAATCCCTTTAGAGCTAAAGATGGCAAAATCTATTAACTTACGGAAATTCAAGAGGTGGTTTTGAGAATGTGTAACTTGAAAACTGGGAGTAAAAAAGTAGAACTTTGTGTACAAGTTAAGTGATTGGCTTCTTTGTTCAATGCTCTGTAAAAATAAGTTTCCTCTCATAGCTCATTAATAGCTTCATCATTGGTGCTCAGCTAGCATAGTCTTTAAAAATCAACAGATGGTGTGGCAGTAGATGCAGAACTCAGTGAAAGTCCTGAAAACCATTAATTTATACACTTAAAATGGATTAATCACATGGTATGCGAGTTGTATCTCAATAAAACTGTTATATTTAAAAAATCAATATATAATTATGTTTCAAAATATTATGGGTTTTTTCCTGGTAGATTTACCCCCCAAATTAAATATTCTTTATGACTTCTTCAGTAGCAAACATTTTTATTGAAAGCCCCTTTGTGGCATTGCGGGGTCACTCCTTCCCTCCGTGCACTCTTGGGGCCTAGCAGGCCGAGGGCTCGAGGGTAGAAACTGGGCTCCACCGTATCCGCACACTCCACTCCCAGCCTTTGACAGCTGTGTTTTCTAAACCTATACCTCCCAGCTGGGCTTGTTTTTGTAATTATGTCACTTAATTAAATTTTGAAAATTAGCCATTTGTGTATACATTCTAAAAGAAAGTGTTATTTTTTGAAAAGAAAATTGTAGGCTTTGGAAAGGCTAGAAAGGGGTAAATTGCTATGAAAAAACTGATATTGGATTAGGCATGAGAGAGACAGTGGTAAAAGATTTGGGGGGAAATCATCAAAATTGAGGCGTGTATTGTAGGCAGTGTACTCAGGGTATTGGCAAGCGTCCTAAGTCCCCTGAAGACTGGAAGTCATAGACCACGCAGTGTGGCGTGGCTTGCGTGAGGGAGATTGGCAGCTGAGTAGACATTGATGTTACAGTTAGATACTTAAGGGATGTGTGTGGCACTTCTCTAGAATTTTACACTTGAATAAACCTTTCTGATTCTCCATCAAATTAATGGTTCATGTAGCACTGGATAAGAGGGCCTCTACCAAAGGACTAAAGGTACAGACAAAACTTACAAAATGTAGTCCAGTGGTGAGGGAGCTCAGGATTGACAGGTGAGGATGGGCTGAAGTTACAAAGTGTGTGTGTGTGTGTGTAACACAAAGAGAGAGAGAGAGAATAGGAACAGAGGAGGGGAAGAGCTGATGGAAGGACCTGCCGATACTTGTTAGAATGGCTGTGGAGTTAGAGACTAAGAAACTGACGGAGGAGCAGCTCCTCCATCTCAAAGGAGGCATCTAATATTTCTCGTACAAGGAGGTGTCAGTGTCATATTTTTTAAAAAAAAGATGTTGGAGGATCCTTGGTAAGTAAGAAGCAGCTTAGATTGGAGACAGGGATGTGGATTCTTGTAAGAGAGCCGAGGGAATCTGTAGCTGTAGGTTTGGAGAATGTCGCACCATGTGACAGATTCCGTTAGGAGGGTGTGCAGGTGCCGCCTGCTGACCAGCCACTCCAGCGCTCTCCACCTGCGTGGTAGCCCAGATGGTCAACATTCACCATTAAATCCACATGTGCTTCAAGTCTCGATTGTTTAATATGTTTTTATTGATTTTAGAGGGAGAGAGAGAAAGAGAGAGAAACATTGATCGGTTGCCTCCCATAAGCACCCTGACCTGGAATTGAACCGGCAACCTTTTGGTGCACGGGATGGTAACTAACTGAGCCACACGGGCCGAGGCTCGACTGTCTTTTTTAACACTTTCAGGATTCTCCCAGGAGGAGAGAGAAGTGAAATGTTACCTACTGTACATACATTAAGCCTTTATGTCGTGGTGCTTTGCTTCTGATGGTTTTTCCTTTGCTTTTTTTCAGACCATCCAGACCTTTCAAGTTGCCAAAAAGGTAAAGTAATCAGATCCTTTTACTAAGTAACCATCCTACCTGCGTGCTTTTCCCCTCCCAGTGTTTTCTCCACATTTTGCTGCTGCTTCCACCTTCCTCACTCATATTTTTGTGAAGGAAAATAATTTTTCCCTGAGTTGGCTGCTTGGGGGACCTCTGTCTCCAAAGTGGTTTTAATCTCCAGCTAGATTTATAGCCTCTGAGTTCCGTTTGGGTTCCATCGTTCATGTTGGCCTAATTATTTTGTGTTCCTTCCTGTAATGGGCTGGCTTCCCCGTGTCCTACCTGTAGAGAAGAGAGATACAGTTCTGCCAACTCATGTGGCTTGAATTCATGGGACTTCTCATTGGACGCTCATGAAAATGCCAACCTGGACCAGGATGCCAGGCAGCGCATCCACTCACTCAGATCCACAGCTCACCCACGAACACCTTTCGTTCACTCTGTTCATCTGTGTACTATTGAGACTTAAACTGTTGAGAAGACAATGTGAACTTGTACGTAGCAGTGCTCTGGGTGGAGCTGTGGGCTCTAAGCTGGGCAGCTGAGACAGCAGCAGGGCCTCAGGGAAAACTGTCACCTGGTCATTGACTGGAAAATGACTGCCTGCTGTAACCCAAGTGTCACAGAGGTGGACTGCATTTTCAATTATGTCGTGTTGTCGAAGGATTTCCAAAACTGGAGCAGGCAGCTGAAAGACAAGTATTATGTGATATGCAGAAGAACACAGTATAGTGAAATGAGTGGTCCTTTTGAAAATTCTCCTAATGTACATGTGGTCCCCTTTCCAAAGAAAATAATATTCAAGTGCTTCATTCTTTCAACTTAGTTAGAATATATACCTTGGACCCAGACTCGCCAGGAGTGGAATTAGTGAGAAAACATAGCAGTGAGATTTTATAGGCCATTTTTAATTTCCTTTACGTCCCCAATTTTCCTGCTTTACTAGATTTTTATCTTCATATTACAGGCCTTGTCTGAGTTGCATGCTGCGCGTGACGCTTTTGTTTCCCACGGGGTGCCCACAGCTATGTGGTATCTTAGCCTAGAGAGCAGGGAGAGCGGCAACGTCCTCCGCGACAGCGTGGTATTTAGGACACGTTTCCCCCAGGCTGCCGTCTGTCCTGGGGATGGGGGTTGCGTTTCCTCAGCGTTACCAGCTGTCCTGGGCCAGCTGAGCGAGGAGGTGGAGCTGTAATATGGGGTGAGGTTAGACGGGCGTGGAGGGACCGTGCTGAAGTCGCTCATGCCATTTGTAGGCGATGCACGTATGTCGTGTGCAGCAGCTGTAAAATCAAAACCAAATGCTTTCAAAGGGAAGAACAGCCATTCTTGCAGCAGGTCTTTTAAGGTTGCTGCGCACGTGTGCACGGATTTTTCAAGAACACAAAACAAAAAGTCATTATATGGGCAAATTAAACCGCAGTAGGAAAACTAAGCAATTTGGGGCCCACTGCCCTCTATTGATAGCAGGTTCGTGGGTAAAAAATGAGCAACTTCGTTCATTTGAAAGAAAATTGATCCATTTAAAATAAAGTACAATGAGGAATTGTACGAGCCTGGGGCCGTTTTCATTTCACAGGGCTGATATTTTAAAGGTCTAACATATAAAGGGCTCTTTTTAAGTCTGAGGCAATGAAGAGAAGTCTCCAGTATGCTGCTGACAAAGGGCTCGATTGCTTCGAAACCAGCTGCCTTCACCTTCGTTCACATTTGGTGGAAAGGAGATAAAGTATAAAGAATAAAGTGCTGGGTGTGTTCTAGAAATTCCAAAGCCTCTGACCACTGGTGTTTAAATTTGAACAGCCGCCACCAGCGTATTGTGATTTATATGTTTTCATTACATTCAGAGTCATTCTTAAAAGGTTATTCCATCTTATCTACCATAATTTTCCCTTGATGAGTTCTTAAACCCAGAATTTACAGTCTAATGAGTAATATTCAGACTTGAAGTCCTATGGATCTAGGTGGTTTGGCATAGAGAAATGAACTGTGAGTGTGGCTTAGGAATTTAATTTTAAAATGTGAATTTGGGAAGCTTACATTTGGGGCAAGCTGACTTATTCCAGATGTCTTCTGTTTCTCTTGCGTTTGAAGCAAGAGATTATATCATAGTGGTTAAGAGGCCAGATTCTAGAACCAGACAACCCGATTCCAAGCTTTGGGACTTCTTTTTATTGAGATAACATTATGTTAGTTCTAGGTGTGCAACATAATGATTCCGTATTGTGTGTATTGCATGACAATTACCACAATGAGTTTAGTTAACATCAACCTCCACACAACTTTTTTTGTTTGTGATGAGAACTTTTATTTTGGCAAATATGCAATACAGTATGATTAACTATAGTCACTGTGCTGCGCGTTACATTCCCATGACTTATTTATCTTATAGCTGAGCCAGCTTTGTGACTGAATGAGTTATCACACTGTCTGTACCTCGGTTTCATCTCATAAAGCTTTTGGGAGAATTAAATGAGATGATAATCTATATAAAGGAAGCCCTTGTAAGTGTAAGCTAGCATGCTTTATTTTCCTAAGATTACTTTTAAAAGAACTACAGTGAAGAAAACCTGGGCAGGTGCTCCCTTAAAGCATAATTATGTTATATTTTAATTTCCTTATTAAAATTTAGTTGGAAGTAAATATCGCCACAAAGCCAGATCTGTGAAGGTGTGAGATTAGAATATAAACATCGACAATCTATTCTTAGATACACATAGTAGCTTTTTTCAGAGTGGTATTTAGAGCCACCAGCTTTATTTAAACTGCTGGCATCTAAGATGCTGCTGAAGAAATTCACAAATATATGAGTCAGAAGCCAGTATCAGATGAGCCATAAGTAGCCATCATAGCAGCCCAATGAGCTAACATCAATTCGACTTTGGAAGTAATTGTCCACAAGTTAAATGTTTCAAGAAACCTGGAGTTGGCAAGATGGATTTTGCATTTTAGCGAAAGTTCAGTGTTCAGTCAGGTTCTACTGAGCGCTCAGTTCCCATCAAGATCTGAAAGTGTCAAGGTAATCAGGCATGGTCCAGGGTCTGGTGGGAGGGACAGAGAAGTAGGTCTTTTAGTCAGGGGTGGTGAAGGAGGGTGTGGGAAGGGTGTCTGGAGGAGATGGCCTGATGGTGGCATTTGGGAACAGAGAGGGGTTTCTGAGGTGTAGTAGGAGACTAAAGCCAGGCTGTAGTGGTTGGGCAGTGAAGGGAGGGTAGGTACATGGGTGTTTGTTGATCTCACTAATAGATAGGTACCAAGCACTTCTGAAAAGGGGCTGTTCTAGGCTCTGAAACTGCACTAAATAAACACATAAAACAAAAATCTCTGCCTCATGGGACTCACAGTCTAGTGGATACGTTTATTATAGTTTTAGCTAGAAGGAAAATTACAGGTTTAGGGGATGTCTTTGGTTTGGTTCAGTTATTCTTAAGATCTACACTCCATGAACCCATTTATGGGCTGAGTTCTTTTTCCAGAACTTACAGAGTAAAAGGTATGGAGAAAGGGAATAACTAGACAACCAGAGTCCTGGAAGAGATGGCAAGGAGTTGGATCCTCTGTTAGAATATATGTTCTTTCTGCTTAGGAGGTGTAGATTTTAGATCTTCTCTTTCCCAGGCACAGATGTAGACAGAACACCTTATTTGTCAGAAATAGACAGTATTCTGACTCTAAATGTCATGTGACCACTGCTACCTTATCGAAGAAACGAGATAACAGTGATTTTATAACTTCCTACTACAATCTCACATAAACACTTACAGTCTCATCAGAGCTTTTGTTGATAAATACCTATCCTGGGTTGGAGGCATGAGGATTGAACAAATTGCTCTCTTACGTGGCAAAGACTCTCCATTGCTTCTAAGAGGACTTCTTTGTGCTTTCTCTCTGCTTCTGTAGTTACGCAGCCCTAATAGCCGACTGGCCCGTGGTGGTCCTGGGCATGTGCACTGTGCTCATCGTGGTCTGTGCCTTGGTGGGAGTATTGGTGCCAGAGCTTCCTGACTTCTCTGACCCATTGCTGGTAAGGAGGATTGAGCCAGTTGCATTTATTTATTTTCTTTCTCTCAAAACCACCTAAAAAAAATGAAGTATGTTAATACAAAATGCATTATGTTATTTAGGATCCCATTTTTAAAAAAACCTTCTCAAGCCATTGGTAGTTATAGAACTATCTTTCTGTGAAGTAGAGACGTGTCTTCTCAGTATTCTCAGGTCTTTAAGAGGTCAAGAAACGTGCTCACCATGAAAAATCTGGAAATTGTGCTTCTTGGTCCCCCTGTTTAGGCTAAAAAGCAAGAAACTGGAGAATCTTTATACTGCAAAAAAAATTTTCATAAAATCTTTAAACTCTCTTTTCTGCCCCAAAGAAACTAAGGGAAGTTCAGTATTACTACGAGATAGCAGGGTCTGTTTTTAAGTAAATGCTTCCCTGGAGTGAAATGATGAGGAAAAGATGAGCATGGATGATACCCTCGTTGTAAAACACTGTAACATGCACAAATAATTTAACTTGGCCGTAATGTTTTATAACCCAAAAGTAAGCATTTACTAAATGCTTAAATATGAATTTGAAAGAGAAGCTTCAGATAAGATCTTCCCCTCTTTCCTGACACGTGTCATACCAAAGAATCAAACTGTTTTGTCACAGTAAATAGGTCATTATCATGTCACGTCATCTTGTTTTAATGCCATCACCTCTGGAGTAGCTGTGAGGAACCTCGGTATTTTCGGGTGAAAGCTAGTCATCATCTTGATGTTGCTTTCCCAAGCTGTTGAACTACCCTTAGCCCGAAATGCAGTGCACTGATGGGAATTTGTAATTCTTTGCTTTAGGGTTTTGAACCAAGAGGGACTACAATAGGCCAGAGGCTGGTCACGTGGAATAACATGGTGAAAAACACAGGATACAAAGCAACATTAGCCAATTATCCCTTTAAATATGCAGATGAGCAAGCCAAAAGGTAATCCTTTATGAACTTTCAGACAAAGCATTGCTTAATGAATTCCACTTTTAGACATTGCCTGAGCAAAAAAGATTTAATGTAAAATATGTGTCTTAAAATCTTGTTTAAATTGTCACTGTCTAGTAAGATTTTGTTGTATTGGATGAAAAAGTGAGGGTTTGGGGCCTTTTTTTTTTTTTTCAGAAGTGAGAAAATTAATTTGGTTGCTTATATTAATCCTCCCAACTTAATTTTAATTGCTAAGTAGGCCATGACTTTGAGGATGTCCTGTTATGGGCTTGCTTGTGGGCCTTGAACTGGCTAGCACTTTATTGAAGATCCACTTGTTATGTTTCAGCCACCGGGATGACAGATGGTCAGATGACCATTATGAAAGAGAAAAGAGAGAAGTAGACTGGAACTTCCACAAAGACAGCTTCTTCTGTGATGTCCCAAGTGAGTGGCTTTCATAGATGATCACACCCTCAGCGATTTCCTAGTAGCCTTTTTGAGATTAAACATGATTAAAATCTGGACTGTAGCGTGTGTGGCTAGTCACACAGCTTCACAGTTTCTCTACTTAAAGAGATTTTAGCTTCACTAACTCATCATTGAACTTCTCTAGGTCAGTCAGCCAGGAATCTGAATTTATTTACCTGTAACAAAAATGAGTAAGAAAGAGATGATTGAGTTATATTCAGTTTTAAGGAAGATATAAATCAATAAAATTCTTGACCTGGCCTCAAATTTTCTAGTCACTTTTAAAAATTCCTCATACTGTTTAACAAATAGCACATATTTTGGGATCGAACCCTGAAGTAATCTACTGGATGACCAAAAAGCTATTTCTAAAATTTTGATTCCTTCAAAAAGCATATATTGACAGCCTTCTCTGTGCCTGCCTTGTCACTAGGCATTAGAGATAGAGAGAGGAACAAAATCAGGCCTGGAAGTCCAAAGCCTGAATGCCACAGGGCCCTGGGTCATGATATGAATGAGTGAAGCTAGCGGGGTGGAAGACAATGAGAAGTGATGGTGGTCGTGAGGAACTAAAGAGCACCCCTGGGAAGAAATCAGTTGCTACTTTGCAGCAGAATGTGCGTTTGGAGAACTGAGAGCCCAGATATTGTAAGAACTTCCCTGAGGCCAGGAATCCAGGTTTTGATGTTGGCAGCAAGTTCCCTGAAAATCTGCTGTAGCCTAGAGTTGGCCTCCCCACTCTGCAGCTGCCACGGAGGAAGGAAGATGCTGCCCAGAGGAGATACTACAAGTATGTAAGTCACCGGTTAGCCGCAGGGCAGGAATGAGGAGTTGTGGGTAATTAGTTTCTACCAGTGCATATTAACATAAAGCTCTTTTGATTTTAGCTTTTTGTGTTGTTGAAAATCTCTCTAAAATGTGTAGCTTCTTATCTGATCAGATCACAGAGGACCTGATTGACTCTTTGATGTTTCTAGGTCTTGCCAAGCCTCGGGGTCTTTATTTTGGACCCTGTTTTGCTATATAGTATTAAAGACAGAAAAAGTAGGAGATTAGGGAGAATTTTATACTGATCTCAGGAAGCAATACAAGTTTCTTTTTCTGTCTCTCATCAGAAAAGTTGGGCTCTGGTTAGTTGCATGTTCTGGCTAGTTTATTTCTCTCAAAGTGTTACTAGATATTGCTTAACTAGCATCTACCTGGTAGTGACTGTCTTAACCAGGAGGAACATCAGCAAAGTCATGATATATGGTCTTGTTTATATTTCAGTAGTCAGCGCTAAATATTTGTCTCATAAGTAGTAGGTTCTGCGCTGATAAAGTCATTTATTTCTGACTCTACTAGAATGAAATGTTCCACAAGCTTATTTCGATCTGTAAAAAATCAGTCAACGTAAGGTAATAACCATTTGATGAAGACAGGAGTTTACTTAAAGAAACCATCATACTCGTGAGCAAAGTTCACGTAATAAAGCTTTATTCATAAATTCGCAGGTCGATTTTCTTTGTTGGCACCATTAGGCATTTAAGATAATGTGAAACTCATCTCGTTTGTTTTACTTGGTTCAGGTTTCTTGTAAAGGCTGGGGAAGCAGACGCAGGACTTACTGAGCACCTGTTTTTCATTAGCTCATTGAATTCTCACAACTGTGTGAGATGGTGTTGCTGTCTCCCTTTAACTGCTGAGGAACCAAGGCTCAGAGAAGCTGTTGGTTGCCCAAGATCACCCTGCTAGGAAGTAACAAGACTCGGTCACACCCAGTTCTAACTCCAAAGACCACCCCCTTTCCAGAATATCACATAACCTCCCTTCTTCAGAAACATGTTTTATGTTACTATGCTTTTCAAAATATTTTTTCTAGACTGGTGCATTCAAGTAGAATGCAGAGTGTCTGTCTGTGATCCTGGCCAGCAGTCTGTCCTTAGTTGACTGTTTTTAGTGCTTTTAAATGATTACCTGCCATCTTGCCTCTCTGCTGAGCTGCCAGAGAGAACATGCTTATAATCCATCCTGTGTGTTCCCTAGTGCGTCGTTCTTTGATTCATATACCATCATGGTGATGTGTTGTGAAATTAAGAGGGAGGCGTTCAATTAACCACCTGCCGAACTTTCTTATGGATCATTCTTCCTAATTATAGTCTGATCCAGAATTCATTTGTTATGTAACTCCGATGATTTTGAAGACGTCGTGAGTAGACAAAGGCTTGGAGCTAAGACAATGTTATAGTATTGCTTTTTAAAATTTTTTTTTTTTACATTTTCTCCCAGAATTTGTTGAAGAAAAGGCTCCCCTGCCGCTAATGAATCGTCCATGTGGTTTCCCAGTTGCAGTTGCTCCTACATGCCAAGGCTTATGAAATCCATGAAAAATTTATAACCTTTTTTCTTTTCTCTTTTCATATCACCAGGTGACCGATACTCCAGAGTAGTATTCACTTCAGCTGGAGGGGACACATTATGGAATTTACCAGCAATTAAATCGATGTGCAATGTAGATAACACAAGGGTATGTAAAGGAGAGCTGCAGTGTGTTTAGCACAAATGCGGCGATGTTTCTGAAACTCCTCTTACTGCTGAGCCCCCTGTCTGATCGGATGAAAGTGCTCGCGGGGCTTACCTGCTGGAGTAAACACCCCAGTCTTTAGATCCCAGGATCAAAGTGTCTCTGTGTGTCCCCACCTTCAACGGACCACCTTCCTTAATAAAGAACTTTTTCTCTCACTCTCCTGTTCTTTGTCCACGACAGTCTTTTGTATTCTTTCGCAGCAGATCTCCTTTCAGGATCATCATTAAGACCTTTTTTCTTCTTTTGTCATATTTTCTTTCCTAATCTGCTTTCATTTGTTCACTGCACTTCCCCCTGAGGCACCTGTCAGCATCCTAATTATACAGCGAGATGCCTGCCTTCCTAGCAATCGGGGTCATTGGGCCTGTGACCTCAAAGGAAAATTTAGGGCACAGGCTGGGGAGAGGGACATCAAAGGACATAAAGACAGTATCTATGTAAATGGCCAGAGTAATCCAGTCCAGATTGTCCTGAGCTCTGAACACCTTGAGGATTCGGGAAGACTGAGCAGCCAGCCCCAGACATGTGCAGGCGGCCCTGGGCTTGGGAGAGCTCTCAGTGCCACATGTTCAGAGGAGTTTCCCCGAGTAGAAACTGCTGTCTGATGTCACTACTGGACCTGTCCACGCACAGTGACCGGGCAGAAAAGGAACTCACCGCATTCTTAGCGACACTCTAAGATGTAAAATCACCGTATAGTTGAAAATCTGATCACATGCAATGCTAAGAGCTAGCCTGACAGTCCAGTGCAGTCGCCTAACAACAGCGTTTAACTGATTACGAGGCTTTTCGAGTATTGTTGATGTCTGCCAGGAAGTGTCCTGTACACCCGAATGAATTATTTCATCATTCATTATTATTCATCCTCATGGTAGTGTTACGAAGCAAGTATTATTATTTTGCCCATTTTATAGTTGAGGAAAGTTCACACAGGTGGTAAGTGGCAAATGCAGGATTTGAGCCCAGCCAAGCCCAACGCCAGCCTGTGCCTTTACTCCCCGTGCCTCATGCTCCCAGAATACAGGAGATAACACCCCGTCTTTGTTTAGTGTTACTGTCTGCCATTTCCCACTCCAGTGAACCTCAGAGTCATCATGGCCTAGAATAAGTGTCATTTTTAGGGCTAGCAATTTATTCTGTGTTGGACTCAAAGACTCCAAGTCAGTAAGCAGTACTGTGCCACTGTAGCTTTCCTTAGTGAGAGCAATATACTATTTCTATGTAATCTCATATTCATATAAATCAGATTAATAAAATCAGCGGCAATAGATAGCTCACAAAAAGGCATACAGAACGGATATGATAAGTTGAATGAGTTACCTGAAGAAGTTAATGGGAGGGAAATCATGAAGCTGAGAGTGAGATTTAACACACAGTAACACCCCGCAATCCTGTACACTTACTGGCATGAGCCGCCACCTTATCTGTGCCCTCCCTCATAGCCAGCGCAAGAGGGAATTCACAGTCAGGGATGAAAGTCAGAGAAATAGGGTAACCAATTTGTTTTTAGAAGAAACCCGGCTTCCCCTAATACTCAGGCAGGAGAGGACAACTCAGCCTTCATCAACCAAGTGTCATGTTGTGTACAAGCTCCTCGACACCTGCTCACAAGAGCTGCAGCACTGAATCTTAGCTGGTTGGTAGACCATCTCTCAGGTAGGTCGGTAGCAGGAAAACGTCATAGCAAAAGCATTTCTCCAAGGGATTAAAGCAAATCTAAGTATGTGGCCTTCTAGTGGCTTGAGTGCATTTGCAGAATGTAGACTATCTGAAGGCGTGGAGCCACTCTGTTTCTTTGAGTATTTTTTTCCACTGGGCTCATGATAAGGATTGGATAGCTACGAGTTCAAGTTTATAATCTGTAGCATGAACACCGTAAGCATTGTGGCCCACTTGTGAAAATTGGAGGAACAGACCCAAGACATATGTCTCAAGGAATGGTCGAGCCCGTTACAGATCCAGGCCACAGATGAGTAACTGGATCATGGAGATGCCTCAGAGGGCATGGCTGTCATTTTAACTTGTTAAATACTATTTTTACCAACCCCTAGTGCTTNGCTAGCCTGACAGTCCAGTGCAGTCGCCTAACAACAGCGTTTAACTGATTACGAGGCTTTTCGAGTATTGTTGATGTCTGCCAGGAAGTGTCCTGTACACCCGAATGAATTATTTCATCATTCATTATTATTCATCCTCATGGTAGTGTTACGAAGCAAGTATTATTATTTTGCCCATTTTATAGTTGAGGAAAGTTCACACAGGTGGTAAGTGGCAAATGCAGGATTTGAGCCCAGCCAAGCCCAACGCCAGCCTGTGCCTTTACTCCCCGTGCCTCATGCTCCCAGAATACAGGAGATAACACCCCGTCTTTGTTTAGTGTTACTGTCTGCCATTTCCCACTCCAGTGAACCTCAGAGTCATCATGGCCTAGAATAAGTGTCATTTTTAGGGCTAGCAATTTATTCTGTGTTGGACTCAAAGACTCCAAGTCAGTAAGCAGTACTGTGCCACTGTAGCTTTCCTTAGTGAGAGCAATATACTATTTCTATGTAATCTCATATTCATATAAATCAGATTAATAAAATCAGCGGCAATAGATAGCTCACAAAAAGGCATACAGAACGGATATGATAAGTTGAATGAGTTACCTGAAGAAGTTAATGGGAGGGAAATCATGAAGCTGAGAGTGAGATTTAACACACAGTAACACCCCGCAATCCTGTACACTTACTGGCATGAGCCGCCACCTTATCTGTGCCCTCCCTCATAGCCAGCGCAAGAGGGAATTCACAGTCAGGGATGAAAGTCAGAGAAATAGGGTAACCAATTTGTTTTTAGAAGAAACCCGGCTTCCCCTAATACTCAGGCAGGAGAGGACAACTCAGCCTTCATCAACCAAGTGTCATGTTGTGTACAAGCTCCTCGACACCTGCTCACAAGAGCTGCAGCACTGAATCTTAGCTGGTTGGTAGACCATCTCTCAGGTAGGTCGGTAGCAGGAAAACGTCATAGCAAAAGCATTTCTCCAAGGGATTAAAGCAAATCTAAGTATGTGGCCTTCTAGTGGCTTGAGTGCATTTGCAGAATGTAGACTATCTGAAGGCGTGGAGCCACTCTGTTTCTTTGAGTATTTTTTTCCACTGGGCTCATGATAAGGATTGGATAGCTACGAGTTCAAGTTTATAATCTGTAGCATGAACACCGTAAGCATTGTGGCCCACTTGTGAAAATTGGAGGAACAGACCCAAGACATATGTCTCAAGGAATGGTCGAGCCCGTTACAGATCCAGGCCACAGATGAGTAACTGGATCATGGAGATGCCTCAGAGGGCATGGCTGTCATTTTAACTTGTTAAATACTATTTTTACCAACCCCTAGTGCTTTGTATTCTGGTCTCAAACTCTGCCATGAACCCAGAATAATAAACCTTCCTCGTAGGATAAGATATTCAGTGGTACCTTAATTATCGGCAGCAGTTCCGATTTCAGATTATTACTGTACCTTTTTTAGTCTCCCAGCTCAGGACCCTTTTAGCGCTTTTATTTGTTGTGGTGGTTTGAGCAAACTGTGTCCCGAGGCTACTTGGCAGTCTTTCCCTCCCTCCACCCTCAAATGCTAGTATCGTGCTTAAGCACTTCATGATTAACTATCACATTGAATGACACACCAAAATTATACAGAGCAGAAGAGCTTAATTGTCGGCAGGTCGACTCCAGGCAGCGTCTGGTCATCAGTGTAGTATCTCATGGGACCAGATCCTTCCGTTGTCACCTGCTTGTGTTGACAGCACACTGAGTTCAAACTCCAGGTTCCATTTCCACCACGAGCCACAGACACTCCTAGTCCAGCCTTGCTCCCAACACGCAGAACTTCATTTCTGATGCTGTCCTCTCCCTCCTAACAGTCTCTTAGACTTTCCCAAGGAGCCTCAGTTGACTTCCCATCTTCTCCCTTCCTTTTTCTGCCCTTTGACGTATCCTCAGAGACACTCCTGCAGTTGGTCCTTAGTACCCAGAAGTGTGTTTCTCTGATCGTGGCTCGGCTGGAAACCCTTTGCCCTGGTTCTTAGGCTTTGCAGTTGTTGGAGCCGGAGCTCTGAGCACTCAGCTGATCAAAGGGGTTCGAAATGTGGTGCCTAAGACCCCGCTTTCTAGGGTAACTTTTATGGGGAGCTGGAACCTCCCTGGTGACCATGGAGCCCTTGCCTTTTCTTTTCTCTCTAGTCCTTTCAACTTTTCATACATGGGGCACATGGGCACATGGGAAGGAGAGTCCAGCAGTTTCTAGAACCTGGTATTTGGGGTTACTTTCCTTCCCTTTAGTTTTTGTCTCAGCCCCTTAAAATATCTCCAACCTAGCCACTGTTAAAGTAGTATTTAAAACCTGCAGGTTTCCTCTTCTCCCCTTTACCCCCTATTTTAAGCCAGCTCCACCCCTGCCACTATCTAACTAAGAAGTGTGTAGAGACGTGTTATGACCACGTAAGCAACAGGACCTCCTAAAGCATCCAGTTTGCGAGCGCCTTGAATTTAGAGTAACGTTGCTCATGAGAGGTACAGGAAAGCGCTCTCGCTAATTCTGTTCTTATTTTTATAAATGTCAAAGATTTTGAAAGCATTCCTATAAATTCCTCTCCCCCAAATATGGCAGGAAGATAGCTGCCTTCTTCATGTGTGCTTGCCAATCTCTGTAAGCCCCACAGGGTAATGTATGAGCGTGTGTTTAGCTGTCTGAGTCGCAGACAGCTGAGTTAGGGCCACTGTCCCACCCACTCCCTCACTCTGGTGAGTGACCCTTCCACATAATCCGGTACTTCTCACTTTGAATTAGAATTATGGATTTTCTTGTCTGATTTCCCTGCCACACTTGTGAGCGACTTGAGGGCAAGGACCTCTGTGCCTTACTCATCTTGTATAGGTGCCAATAATTTTTTTTTTTAATGGATGGATGGATGGGAACATATGGCCTTACCTCTGACACCGATGTCTTTTTTCTGTCCCTATTTCTCACCCTGTAAATGTCCTCAAAAACTGATTTCCAAAGGTTGTCCATCGGCCAGCACAGCGTCCAGAGGCGTCCTAGCATTTATTTTTGATAGCTGCCATCCAAGTAGTATTTGGGCTGTGTTTATCTTGTCCAACTTTTTAAAATTTGGTCAGATACACTCGTGAAAAGAAAAAGAAAAAACACCTGCTATTATCTGTAAAGGTTGTTCAAGGACAGGATTGGGTGCCTTCTCTCTCAGTTCCAGCTGGCAACCCTGTTTCCTTTCTCTCTCCATTTGGTTATTTTATCAGCTACAAATAGGCTCCTTCTAGCAGGTCCTGGGTTTCAAAATGGATGCAGTTCGCTTTCTTCTTTCTGAAAACCGTCAGGCACGAGGGTGCTGTACCTTTCTTTCGGTTCCCCAGGCTGCCTGCAGGGGCCTGCGTGTAATTTCTCTGTAGGGATAGAGCTGGGGATCTGCCAGGAAAACCGGGGAGGTGCTCTCCCAGTGTTCCCTGGTGTTGCTAGACGGTTCAGTTTCCCCCGACTTGGCCTATGTGGATGTTTTCACCTGAAACAGCTAAGTAGGAATTATCCTGTTTTGTGAAATGTCGAGTAATTATTGCCCTCTAGAAGTGAGCTTAAAAATGAAGGCTTGTTAAAATAAACATTCATTTTGTACGCTTGAATAATAACCCTTTTGGCTCACTTGTTTTTACCCCTAAAAGAGTATCTTTAAAACCAGCAACATTTTATTATGGACATTTTCAAACAGAGAATAATTCTAATTTCAACAGTTCCCAATACATGGCCCACCTTATTTTATCCACACCTCATCCCAGGACTAGTCCCAATAAAGTGCAGTTGACCTTGAACAACATGGGGGTTAGGGGTGCCAAAAGTCCATATACAACTTTCGACTCCCCCAAAACTTAGCTACATACCTTGATGGCCGGGGCTTAGGGGGTCCTGAGTAACTTGGTTCTTTGGTAAGTCTGAGTTCCACAGAGATGATCTGTGCCGACATCTCCTCCACTTCGAGAAGGTACTTCACTGCATGATTGCTAAAGCCCACTTTACTAAGGGTCAAGGGTGGGTTTGTTTTTTATTTACTTATTTTTACGCCTCACTGGGGGACATGCTTAGAGAGCAGGAGAGAGAGAGAGAAACATCAATCGCTTGCTTTCTGTACGCTCCCAGACGAGGGATCAAACCCACCACCCAGGCATGTGCCCTGACGGGGAATCAAACTGGCAACCTCTCGGTGCCCAGGGGCGGCCCCCAACCCACTGAGCCACGTCGGCCAGGGCTCCAGTCGCCTTTTGATTCACTGACAGTTTTCTAGGAAATGTGTTGCTTCCAACTAGGTTGATGGAGCTATAACACCTCCATCACCCCACATTTCGTGTTGATGACGAGAAATTTTAGGCAAAGCCACAAATTTTGTTTCATAAATCAATTGGACAATGGCTCTTGTGATTAACCCTGTGGGCATGCAGACAGAAGCCTCCAGCCTTACCCACTTTATTGCTGTTTAAAGTGACTTGGAAAGGGCTTGTTTAGGAAAGAGAGGTTCATTTCGTCTCCTTTTTAAAACCACACTAGCATTGCTTGAAGTTGTCTCCCACTGTACCTCATCCCCAAACAGCCTGTTGTTCAGAATAAAGTAACCCAGCGGAGGCCCCTGCCACAGGGGAGCTTTTGGGGGAGGCCTCACCCTGTACTCACCCCTGATGCCTCCCCCCCGCCCCTGAAGGCCCCCCTAACCCAGACCTCTGAGCGCACCCGTTGAGTTTTCCACGCCAGCCCTTCCGCGTGTCTCTGTCTCCGCAGATCAGGGCGCACCCGCAGTTCGGCGACCTGTGCCAGAGGACCACGGCCGCGTCCTGCTGCCCCAGCTGGACGCTGGGCAACTACATCGCCATCCTGAACAACCGCTCGTCCTGCCAGAAGATCGTGGAGCGGGACGTGTCGCACACGCTGAAGCTGCTGCGCACGTGCGCCAAGCACTACCGCAACGGGACGCTGGAGCCCGACTGCTGGGACGCGGCGGCGCGCAGGAAGGACCAGCTCAAGTGCACGAGCGTGCCGCGCAAGTGCACCAAGTACAACGCCGTGTACCAGATCCTGCACTACCTGGTGGACAAGGACTTCCTGGCGCCCCGCGCGGCCGAGCAGGCCCCGCCGGCGCTCAAGTACAGCATGCTCGTGTCGCCCACCGAGAAGGGCGAGAGCATGATGGGCATCTACCTGGACAACTTCGAGCGCTGGAACGCGTCGGACGGCGTGACCACGGTGGCCGGGATCGAGTTCGGCATCAAGCACAGCCTGTTTCAGGACTACCTGCTGATGGACACCGTGTACCCCGCCATCGCCATGGCGCTCGTGCTGCTGGTCATGTGCGCCTACACCAGGTCGGTGTTCATCACGCTCATGACCATGTTCGCCATCCTCAGCTCCCTGATCGTCGCCTACTTCCTCTACCGCGTGGTGTTCGCCTTCGAGTTCTTCCCGTTCATGAACCTCACGGCGCTCATCATCCTGGCGGGGATCGGGGCGGACGACGCCTTCGTCCTGTGCGACGTCTGGAGCCACACCAAGGGCGACCGGCCGCGCGCGCGCACGGCGGAGACGGTGGGCGCGGCCCTGCGGCACGCCGCGCTCTCCATGTTCGTCACCAGCTTCACCACGGCCGCCGCCTTCTACGCCAACTACGTGAGCAACATCACGGCCATCCGGTGCTTCGGCGTGTACGCGGGCACGGCCATCCTGGTCAACTACCTGCTGATGGTCACCTGGCTCCCGGCCGTGGTCGTGCTGCACGAGCGCTACCTGCTCAACATGCTGGCGGGCCTGCGGCGGCCCCGCGCGC